TTCAGAAAGTCACAACAACACCTCAGTGCACCTGTTCTGCCGAAAGGATGTGGTGCCATTTGCAGTCGGTTCACACTCACACCTGTACTGGCAGCATTTAGAGTCTGACCCTCACGAGTGGAAATGCTGACATAACCTGACATTTTGCATATCTCAGTTTTAAAGCATTTGGAAGGAAAGAACCAGGATTCAGAGCAGTTAATTAGGCTGAGACTTAGTGAGAGCAGATCAAACACACTTTTATTAGCTCTTTGTGTGAGAGTGCTGAACATCCAGAGAAACACACACACGCACACACACACACGCACACACACGCACGCATACACACACACACACACACACACACACACGCACACACGTTAGCAGAGTGGCTCTCAGCCTGGTGCAGGAGATGAAAGAGGAGATGTGAACTGTTCTCTCTGTGAGACACCGAGGCCAACGTGAGAGGGGAGCACTACCACAGCATTGTTTCTGTGCTTGTTTCCAGCCCCGGGCTGTGAATGTTAATGCTAGAATATTTTTATGTCACCATATTAAGCTCATTTTCATCCCCCGTCTTGGGAGCAGATTAATGCAAAGCACAAACAAGACTTGGGTGTCCTTGCTCAGGGCCACTGTTTGGCTCCAGCTTCCTACCTTCTCTCTTGTTTACCTGCTAATGGGCAGCTTTTTGTTATCACAGACAAACCCTTGTAAAATATTTAGCAATTTGCTGCATCATGCCTCAAATAGCATATAAAATCACAATGTCTGCTCCACAGAGGGTAGCACACCAGTCGTATACTCAACCCCTGATGTCAATGCACAGGATCCTGCTCCGAGTGATGCAGGACTGCATCTCATCCTGGTTCTGTCACCACTAAATTGAGATCCCGCAGTTCTGGATAACATTTCACATCGATTTTGTAGCATCACAGCTGAATGACAGCGTCTGCCTTTGGCTCCTGTTAAATATGTATAAATTCTCCCTTTGAAGCGCGATTCTGCACCTGTAAGCCTGTGAAACAGCAGGAGACTGGCAGCAAATATTCATGAATCACCAGCCATAAAACACGATACTTGAAGCATAAAGCTGCACCACATATGCACCTATACATTTATTACCTGCAGTGCATCACTGATAAACATTACAGAGTTCCTCTTTGTATCCAGATCAGTTGGTAACATGTGCACATGTAGCTGAGTGAGGACTGTAGGGAGCTGCTGCCACCCAGAGGTGAACTGTCTTATTATGTTTTGCAGCATTGTCCTCATTAGAGATTAGATTAGGTGAAACTTTATTAATCCCTCGGGTGGGTTCCTCCGGGAAATTCAGTTTCCAGTAGCAAAACACTGAAAAAGTTGCATGTTACAGATACATTAAGGGGAATGAGAGTAAGGATATAAGCATAAATACACCATATATACACATATAGATACAGAATATACAATATGGATAAATAGGATTGCTCATTTGAGTGAGTATATTGCACAGTGATTATTGCACAGTCGAATATAAGAAAAAAAGACAAAACAAAAACAAAAACAAATATTGCACAGTGTAGAAAAGCACCTACAGCTCAGTTGTTCCCGCCCTCCCTTGTCCCCCTGTTTCTCCTCCCTCTCCCCTCCAGTGAGGAGTTAAACAGTTTGATGGCGTGTGGGACAAAGGAGTTTTTAAGTCTGTTGGTTTTTGACTTTGGGAGAAGCAAGTAGTAAACCTAATAAAGTAATAAAGTATGTAAAATATTTGCAACTGGGACTGTGGATGTGTGACCTCCTGACTGTTTGCTCTACAGTTTCAATCTGTTAGTTATCTGATGTATTTGTGATGCTGCAATGACTACATGCATAAAGATGAAGTATGTACAAGAATAATGTTGCTGATTTTTCTTTTCTTTTCTAAACTTTGGTTTGTATTATCCATATTTTATTTCATAAGTACTGAGACTACCTTTTGTTACGTTTGCATGCCAGAAAAACCATATGCATTTAATTTGGTGATTTTTAGTCATGAATAAGTTCATAAGTTCTGAAATAAAGCAGTTAATTAAATAACAAAATTGCAGCAAGTTGATCAAATTGATCTTCAAAGCCAATTTTTTTTCATGATTTGAATATTTATATTACTTGCTGATGCTCTTACACTCGTAGTCCATCTGTAACTGTGCATTTTCTAATTAAAGAATGCAATTATTAATGCAATGAATTTAAATGTGTTCAGTATTCATTCACTCTTGTCTGTTATAAATCTTACAGCGAGTAATTAGTCACTTTGTGACAGCTTTGCTCTTCTAGCATGAAATTAATAAAACACCACCAGACCAACTAAATGTAAAGAAGCACAGAACAACTATCATATGATGGAGCACATGAAACTCTAGAAGCCGAGATGTTACTGAACAGACTACAGCAGAAGTACACATTAGCTTTGAGTAAGTTAATTTGGTCATTATCTGGAAAACTGAGAAAGACGATGCATGATCCAGCTAACCTGATGTGTTTTTGACTTTATTATTACTCTGTGACAGATTCAAGTGTTCAGTATGGCACTGATTTTTATCTGTTTTTCTTTTTTCTTTGTTATAGAGATTCCTGCACATGACACTGCCCACTGCATGCACTCTCAGTACAGATTTAGTGCAGAGTGGGACTTTTAAACTGCTGCCACCATCATGATAACGTAGCTGGAAATTGCCACAAGGTGGCAGTTTTGGACTGAACCTGAGAAATCTCAGCTTTTCATTTGTTCTCTTTGTGCATACAGCTTTACATTAGGAAGCTGCACTAATACCTTTGGTTAAAGACATAAATAGTTTGGGTGAAGCATAAAGTTAAAGTTAGTTGATCTGAAAAGTCAGCCTCAACATTTTAGTTTAAGCAAAGGATGAGAAGATCACACTCAGTCCAGTCAGAAACAAGCTAGAGGGTGAAACTTACTCTTTAAATGATCAGTA